TGATCACTATGTCATCCACATACACAATAAGAGCTACAATTCTCCCTTCACCTCTTTTCACAAATAGAGTGTGATCTGACTGGCATTGTTTGAACCCCATCTGTTGRAYTGYTAAATGGAACTTACTAAACCAAGCCCGAGGTGATTGTTTCAACCCATATAAAGATTTTTTTAACTTGCACACATTTTGTTCACTGCCTTTGGCACAGAAACCTGGAGGTTGGGTCATGTACACTTCCTCTTCCAAGTCACCATTCAAGAAAGAATTTTTGATGTCCAATTGGTGAAGTTCCAGTCAAGATTTGCTGCCAATAAAAGGATCCTGATAGAGTTCATCTTGGCTACTGGAGCAAAAGTCTCTGCATAGTCCACTCTATATACCTGTGTAAAACCTCTTGCTACCAGTCTAGCCTTGTACCTTTCAACAGTTCCATCAGCCTTGTGTTTCACTGTGAACACCCACTTGCAACCCACTAATTCCTTCCCTTCAGGAAGGTCCACCAACTCCCAAGTGCTATTTTTGTGTAATGCATCAATTTCTTCCTGCATTGCATTTGTCCATTCAGGTTTAGATAAAGCTTCTGCCACATTCTTAGGAACGGGGTCACTGTCCACAGAGGAGAGGAATGCTTGTTCGATCTGTTCTCTCAGTCAGTATTCCCGCTCTGATACCATCTTGACAGTGTGGCCGGCCAGAAATAAGAGGAAGAGAAGAGAAGAGAAGAAGAAGAGAGAAGAGAGAAGAAAAGAGAAGATATTGGCAATAGAACAGTACTGGCGGCGCCAGCTTTTATTATATTATATAGGGCGGCAGAAATAAGAAGGGAAAAGACCCTTGTGCCCCTGCTATAAGTGAGTACAATAACAGACATAACAGAAATAAAAAAATAGAAATAAAAAATGCTTTAACTAGCCAATTAGACCCTAACACAAATAACTAAAATATTTCAACAAGGACCAAGCACATCGAGGTGGATTGCCACAGTTTGAGGGGGGGGGGGGTGTGGAGACTCTATAACTTGATGTATCTTATTAGAGTCTTTGTTGTACATTACTTATACTTCTTATTCTTCTTTTTTCTCTTTCAGCCCTATATGTGGCATTCTTGTAGTTGTACATATATTTTAATATATAAGAGACTCTTTGAGGTGGGAGTCAATTATTCTTGACACCTCTAAGATTATTCTTGTTGTTCTCTCTTTTCAGACAAGAGTGTTGACACAGTATAATCATGGTTTGGAATTTCTATAAGGAATGATGTTTCACCATGTAGAAATGGGCAAATTTCAGGGATATTTTGCTAATTTTGATGATATATTTGGAAAATCTGAAGAAATAAATCAAAATTACTAAAAACATGGGATTTGTCAATGAAGCTTCGTGGATTGTTAGAAGAAGCATAATTGCACATTTACGGCTCGAAACCATAGCAAACAACCATGTATGTCAGACAATAGAAGATTAATAGACTTTAATAGGTTTCACTCTCTGCCTCCCTTTTAGTATTTCAGCCATCTTATCTTCTATACAAATGTCATTGACTTTCCATTTTGATTTCTATCTTTTGTAACTATATGTTCTTCTCAGATTGAGAATTTTCTTTTTTAATTTGTTCTCTTTTTCAAAATAGAAGCCAGTCATCCAATTACAGAATCCTTATTTGTTCTTTCAGAAAAAAAATATTTTCAAAAAGTTTTAATGATTTTAATAGAATATAGACAACTCATAACAATATTTAAAATTTCAACTCTTTTTTTTTTGAAAAAAGTAAAATATTGTATTTGTTGAGAGTTATTTTGTATTTGGGTATATTTGTAATATTGTGGGGACCTATATGTATTTGTGGGAGAAAAAGGGGCTTCTATATAATTTTGATGTATTTCGGTCTTATGCTTGTTTAAGCAAGTGGTTTTGTGGGATTAGGGTTTGAGGAAGAGTGAATGAGGAAGAATGAGTGGGGAAGAGAGTAAGAGAGAGAGAGAGAGAGAGAGTCGTAGCTCTTGTTCTCATAGTGGATATGTTTCCTCTCCTACCGTAGATGTAGGCTACCAAGCCAAACCACTTTAAACCTTGGTGTTTCTCTATTTCTTCTTCTTGTTTCTTCCTTAAGTTGCTATTTTATTTTATGTTGGTTGACATGGTATCGGAGCTATTTTATGTTGTTTAACAATATTAAGTATCAAAAAATATTCTAAAGTTTTAAATATTAGACGTTTAATTACTAATAAAAGTCAAAATATGCCTGATATATTGGCAATAATATATAGGAGATATTAGGAAAAAAATCTTTCTAGAATATTTTGCATCACCCCTTGGTGAAATGGGGAGATTGTGGTGAGGTTTGGTATTGCAAAATATGATAATAGTAATAATAATGTACAATAAGGTATGCTTAAATCATCCCTATGGGGGGCTAAATGATGG